CTGCATTCCCCCTATGCTTCCAAACCCAATCCCATAGAGGGCTTTCCTTTCCAGTTCACTGTCCCAGCAGCTTTTCTGTAAGCCCCCCAAAAACCAATACAGTAAGTATTTCCTGAGGACATGTGGGGCACCAGGCATGGTGTTAGAGACTGGTGATACGCTGGTGAGCCAAAGGAACACAGACCCCGACCTGCGGGGCTTTAGGTTGGCAGGGAGGAAAACACGCAACAAAGCCCAGCAATGACCAGCAATGACGGAAACGGAGATTTTCCTTTGCATGGTGCTGAGAGTTCCTCAACCACATGGCTGCCGACCTGGTCTGGCCCTGGAGGCCTGGGCCAGAGGGGAGTCAGAGGGCTTGTCTGGACTCTGGCCCTATGCCATTCAAAAAAATCAGTATGAACTCATCACACCTATTCAGAGAATGCTTCATGAATAATCAGGAAAGCAACAATAAATATATAGATTTTCAGGTTTGTTTAGCAGCAGGGAAAGAGGAAACGTATGTGCCGCTGCAGCTGTTCTGGCCTTTTCATTACTCAGGACAAAGTCAGCTTCCTCAGGCACCAGAGAGAGAAGCGAAAAGGCGGCTCTTCCTGACATCTTTGGACTCTCCCTTCTAGCCATGTCCCCGGGGGACCCAAAGAGGCAGCTACTTCTCCCTTCACACCCAACCAACACAAACAAGGAAAGAAGCCAAGAGGAAGGAAGCGGTCTGGCTGCTCTGTAAGGCTGAGGGGCACCTCCCCCCCCAGATCTGAGGTCAGCAATGTGGCCCCCGCCTGTAGGTCCCAAGTGACAGACTCAGTCAGGACTTGGAATCAAGAGGTGCCCTCCATTCCCAACAACAGTCCCTTGTGTGGACATCAGGCTTCTCTGCCTCCCATCACCCAGAGCAGAAATGGTTCTGAAACACTGAACAGGCAAATCGGTAAGCCAGTGTATAAAACAGGCACCATGAGTGGCAAAGTGACAGGCATCTGGGCAAACATGGCCAACAGACACGGCCTGGCTTGCAGTGTTTTAAGATTGGAAAAGTTCACATGTAAATCTTGACATCCAAGTTCTCTTGAAATGTCGAATGATCAGACAACAGTGGGTTTGCCTTCCCAAGTAGAATCTGAGACAGGCCACTCTACTCAGAAAGGGCAAGCCCTCTCCTGGGTTGCCTCTCAGGGGCCCTGGACCCACCAGCTACCGTTAACTTGCACCACTTGTCTGACCGCAATACAACACAAGTCTCCGAGCCCTGTCCTAAGCGTTACAAGTTTTTTATCTCCCAATGTACTGAATGGAAAATCAAGCAGCACAAATCTAAAGTAAACATTAAGGGTTTTAAGATTTATATTTTCACCTCTCTTACAACAGTACCCAAACCCTAACACAGAAGCACCTGCTGAGGATATGGGGGGCAGCAGGGAAGGAGAGGGCAAAGGAATAATGCAGTCCACGGAGAATGAGTAGAAGCACGCCACAGGCCTGACACACCCCATCGTGGGGCCCACGCTCACTCTCATGACCGCAGTCCAACCACAGGGCAGGACAAAGGCCTCAAACGTCTTCATCCCATGCATGATGGCTTTGACCAAACATGGAGACTTAATGACACACCCAAACCTGCCAAGTCCCATCTGTAGGGCTGCTCTCCCACCTCCCTACAAGAAAGTGAAAAGAACTCAACTTCCTTTCAGCAGTTCCAGAGAAAAAGGAATCAAGAAGGGTGAAGTTCAACTTGCCCAAATAGATGTAAGGAAGCAGGCTGAGCAATCCAGCGCCCAGGCCTACCTAAACACAACTTCAACAAAAGCAAACCTCAAGCTCACTGCAGTTGCAGAGGCTGGTCACTTGTTCTATTATCTTTCATGTTGTCTAAGTCCTAACACAAATTATGAAACCAAAAAAGAGGAAGCACATTTTAAAGAAGTGAGACCTGTATCTGAATCCAAATCACACTTTATACAACTCCTAATCAGAAAATTATAGTTACATCATATTGGTTCTTCCAATATAACACTACTAATAATTATTGGTATTTATCATTCACATTTTTAAATATATTTATAGAGTGCTTTATAATTCTCAAAGTCCTCCTGTCCCTTAGGGATGCATAAGTTGGCATAGAGCATTTGGCCTAACAAATGAAGGCATTAAGGCACAGAGCCTGCAAGTAAGTTGTTCAAGGTCACACAGCTGATCATAGTTAATACAACTCCACAGCTCATCCATGAATTCCAGATAGACAGATAGATAGATAGATATAAAGTCACTTGGTAGTCAAGAAAATAGTAGACCCTGATGAAGAATAAACACAAAGATGAAACGCTGTCATTTGTCTGCTTATACATACACACCGTGATACACACACACACACACACGCCAAAGCCATATTGTAAAACTTAAAATATAATGTTCAATAAAAATTAATTTAATGTTAAATATTTTAATGTTTAAAAATTATCCTAATGTTAAATTAACTGGATCTGCCTATTCTTTCTGACAGATTATTAAGAAAAGGTGACCCGTCTGAATTACAGGTTTAAAATATAATTTTTGTCTTACTCATAAAAGAGCACTGTAACCACAAATCAACCACTCACATCTACTCCTTCCATAGTCAACATTCAACATAATTAATTACTCCTAAACGGGCAACACTGACGTTCCTTCCAATGAAGTATGCCACGAGAACATCCGGGACTCTAGGTCCTGAGCACATGTCGCCCTCTAGTGGCATCCACCTCCCCATATCCTGGGTGAAGTCCCTCATTGGAGACAAGTGTGCTTTAGAGAGCTTATAGTGTGATTTTATTCACAAATACAAAACTTGGGGGGCCCCTGGGTGGCTCAGTGATTAAGCATCTGCCTTAGGCTCAGATCATGGTCCCAGGGTCCTGGGATCGAGCCCCGCATCGGGCTTCCTGATTCTCTCTCGCTGAGTCTCTGTCAAATAAATAAAATCTTAAAAAAAAAAAAAAAAATTACAAAAATACAAAACTTGGGGCACCTGGGTGGCTCAGTGATTAAGCATCTGACTCAATCTCAGTTCAGGTCTTGATTTCAGGGACGTTAGTTCAAGCCTTGAGTTGGGCTCCATGCTGGGCATGGAGCCTACTTAAATATACATATGTATATATAATTTAGGTAATTATATATACATACATATAAAACTTAATTTCTGCCCTTGATACAACACTCATCGTTTTCTCTTAAGAGTGCTAGTGAATAACGTAAGTCTCTGTGGGTGAATGGGACATGTAATTGTGAAGCTGGGCAGTTCACTCACTAGAAAGGTCTACAGTGAGGCTAACCACAAAACTCAAGTGATTTTGGTGCACTTGCTAAAACGCTCACAAGAGAACACAATCTTTACTCAACACTTGGTGCAAGAAGCTTAGGAGTCCAAAAGGACATCCTGAATTTTAGGTATCTCAACTTTCCTTCCAGGTATCTCACTTCAATATCTTAAAAACCTTAGTAGTCTTGCAACCTTTTATCTAAGAAAGTCTTTATTACAAATGGACACCATAAAGGAACACAGTAACACCTTAACTTGTGTCAGTTAGCGAAGAATTGTACAGACTTATAATCAGTGTACTCTACGGAAGTACCAAAGCATTGCTGAGACTTCACAATGAACGAGAAAACATGCTCAGTCTGTACCTCACTCAGCATTCTGACATTCTACCTGGCAGCAGTGAACCTGCAACCTTATCTTTGAGAAGCAGGGTGACAACACAAATTATTCCAGAGAGAGGAATAACCTAGAACAGGGTCACATCAGGTTCACATCAGGGTGGGACAAGGAAAGGTTCTGGGTTATTGTTTCTGTTGTTTAATCTCTCCTCTCCCCATATGCACTCCCAAAGGCTAGTACGAAAATCAAAGATAAGAGTAATCAGTCAACTAAGGTGTTCCTTGAAGGCAGGTACCATGTCTTAAAACTTTTTCATTCTTGGTGCCTAACACAACCTGGTTATACCATGGGTGCTTCCCATTGCAAAAAGAAGACAAACTTGTTCATTATCCCAAAATAAGGTTGAGAAAAAAAAAAATGAAAAACCTTTGTTGATAGGGCAGTTCAGTAATGAAACAATCTAATCCAAGAAAGTATAAGATAATAATAGTCTGTGATGGTTAATTTTATGTGTGAATTTGGTTGGGCCATGGTACCCAGTATTTTTGGGCAAATTCCAGTTTAGATGTTGCCGTGAAGATATTTTTTTAAATGTGGATAACATTTAAATCAGTAAACTTTGAGTAAAGCAGATTATCCTCCATAATGTGGGTGGGCCTCACCCAATTTGTTTTAAGGCCTTAAGAGAAAAGAGAGGTCTCCAAGGAAGGAGGAGTTCTGCTTCCAGAGGGACTTCAGACTCAAGACTTTGACATAAACTGTTCCCAGGGCCGACAGGTTGCTGGCCTGCCCTGCACATTTCAGATTTGCCTGCCCTCATAATCATGTGAGCCAATTCCCTAAAATAAATACTTCTTTCTCACTCACATATATGTGTGTGTATACATATATCTACATACACACACACACAAGTATTTGTATATATTTCCCCTTTCCCATACTGGTTCTGTTTCTCTGGAGAATCCTAATACGTTGCATACAGATTTTCCAAAGACCGTGACCACAATATTCATTCACTGCTCTAATATTAAAATATTAAAATAGACTCCCCCTAAGTTAAAGCCAAACCATTATATAAAGTCCAATCACTAGATGAAGGATATTCTGCTAGAATATCCTTCGGGGGGGGGGGGGTAATGATAAAAAGTCCAAGAAATATCTTCCCAATAAATACACCTAGGTTGATCAGCCCAAAGGACATTTCATTTTAATAATCTGGAGGCATTTTAGTCCAACAACAAAATCATTTCAGGGTGACATCTTCATAATCTCTTACACTTCACAGAAAAGGCTTTGCCAGAATTTACTGAAAGAAAAAAAAATATGCTGAGAAAATTTAAATGAAAAGAAGAAAAATATGAACTACCTCTTGGTTATCTTTGTTTTGGTTTGCCCAGAAAATCTTATGATAAAGCGTCTCCATCGAATTGCTGGAGTCAGTCCGATCAAAACAATGTCGATCCAACACTTCCAACGTGTGCAACACCCGACTGATGGTCACCCCTGGATAGGAAATTAAGCAAGTGTCAAGAGGTCAAACAAAGCCACAACAGCGTAGTACAAAATCATCATTAGGCAGGGCAAAAGGGATTTTAAGAAAGTTGACATTCTCAACAGCCGGGAGCTACAGGGCACGAAATGAAGAATGCCCTCAGAAGTCAGAAGGTGGCTCCGCCAAAAAGCATCCTTACTCACTATGTGGACGAATTGTTAAGAATCAGAAATGCGGCATGAAGTCCAACATTCAAAAGCACCCCTTCTTCTCTCGTGTTCTGTACCTGCTGTTGATTCTTGGCACTTGTCAAAGGACCACCGAACCTCCACTGCACGGCCTCTTTGTTTGATCTGCTGTTCCGCCTCATAAATCCTGGCCCGAACCTGAAAGATAAGCGCTTCCACTTAACTTGTGCTTGGAGAGCCACAGTAGCTGTCTAAATCAGGTCAGGTTTCCCACATGAGCACAGCAGCGTCCTACAGTCCATCGACTACATCATAGCAAATTTAGCCTGTTGCCCAAGAAGTGCCCTTTAAAATTTACAAGTGGTGGTTCAATGCCAGTTTTCAATAACAAATGCTTGCCAAAAAAAAAAAAAAAAAAAATGCTTGCTTTACAAGCGAGAATTTTTTTTAGGTATCACATGGAAAGGTGAAAGCTCTAAAGTATCATTTTTGAGCCATTCTTCCATGTATGAAAACGTGGCATGTTTTATTAATTTAAGAGAAATGCTTGCCAAAAAAACAGCCATCTTATTCTCAACATTAGTCACGATCCTGTGGTTTAAGTTTCTTAAGTCTCCGAACCAAAAAAAACCCCAGCACTAATAAAACTAACTCATAAAAACACAGTTACTAAATATCACAGACGACGAACTAGAAGCGCTGTGGTCATGTATTAGAACCACCACCATAACTACCCTCTGGGTGGCGGAACGCTCTGCAAGAACTGCCCAGCAAGAGGGAAAGAAGAAAGGGAGCAACGTGATGAACTTCTGTGGTTCAGAGAGGCTAAATCCTTCCCCCAGGTCCCCCAGAGAGATGGGGAGCAGGGCTGAGAACGGCACCCAACCACCTGAGATGCTGAAACCCACTTGGCCCACTCTGCTGTGATGCCTCTCAAGAATGAACACACCCATCAAACCACCATAACAGGAAGTCTACCTGCTGATTGAAAGCCGTGTTCCCACCCGGCATGGGGAGGCTGGAGGGGGCCACCTGCAGCAGATCCAGGGGCGAGCCGGGGTTCGTGCTCTTATTGTCATTTGTGGAATAATTCCACACCAAGGCACTTGGGCAACAGAGAGTGACAGTCTGGAAATGAAGCAGGAAAATCCAGATATTTAAAGGAATGAGAAAATGCAACAGCTTAAAAGTAAAAATGATGCCTTGTCATACGATATTATAGTTTCCTACCAGTGAGTTTAAAATATGGACTGCTGACCCCATTCTCAACTTTTCAAGTTCTAAGACAAAACTAAGAATTATTAATTTGAGGGGCGCCTGGGCGGCTCAGTCGGTTAAGTGTCTGACTCCAGCTCAGGTCATGATCTCAGCATCCTAGGATTGAGCCCTGTGTCAGGCTCTATGCGCCGCAGGGATTCAGAGCTTCTCCCTCTCCCTCTCCCCCTGCTTGTGTGCACGCTCTCTCTCTCTCTAATAAATAAAATCTTTAAAAAAAAAAAATACTATTTAAAGATTTTATTTGACAGAGAGAGAGAGCGCGCGTGCAAGTGAGCACAAGGAGGGGGAGGGGCAGAGGGAGAGGGGAGAAGCAGGCTCCCCCAATTTGGGGCTCAATCCCAGGACCCTGGGATCATGGCCTGAGCCGAAGGCAGATGCTTAACGACTGAGCCACCCAGGCGCTCCCCAAAAAAGAATTATAAATAAAGGGAGGAGTACAGCTACTGAGAAATCAAGGAGTATCATAATTCATAAACTAGCATTCCAACACAGAAAACCTAGGAAAGTTAATAAAAACACAGTAATCATCACGGAAAAATTGTCACTTAAAACAGTTTCTTCATTCAATTAGAAAAATGAGATGGAATTAGAATATGTCATTTCTAAAGTTATAAAATGTAAAAAGAAATTTTTTGTTTTTTTTAAATCTAAGAAATAATCTCTGAGATAATGCAGGAAGTAGCTTCATAGAAGCTAGGTTGGCAGTAACCCTGGACCAGCGGGTGGCAAATTTTCTATAAAAAGCCAGACAGTAAATGCTTTAAGCTTTGCGCGTCACCTCTAATTTCTGTCACATATTCTTTTTTTGTTTTACTACCTCACTGAAAATATAAAATATATTCTTAGCTCCTGGGCTGGACTTGGCCTCCAGGTTGTGGTTTGTCTACCCCTATCTTAGACCCCTGAAGACATTTTTTACTCAACCAACTTGCATGAAGCACTTTCTAGGACCACCTCACTCACAGGTCACAGCAACCCCATGAGGGAGGTAGTGCTATTCTCCAACTGTACCAGAGAGGAACATGAGCCATGGAGGAAATTTAGTAACCAGCCAAATTGATTTCAGCACACATGCTTGGAACCACTATGCTAACCCTGCCACCACCTAAATGGAGATGAAATATTATGGCTCCAGCGTAATTAAGCCCTTCCTCTGTACTGTGCACTGCCCTGGAAGCTTTCAGTCATCACAACCTGAACTCTGTGTGGTACTGAAGTAGGAACTGTCACCAACCCCCTCACGCCCAGGAAACAGAGGCTCAAGGTTCAAGTTAGTCAGTGGCAGAGGGGAGGCTAAAGTCAGGTCTGCAATGATTCTTTAAAAAATAGGTCTTAACCATCATGCTGTGGTGCTACTTGACAACAGACCGTGAGCTTATTAGAGAGGGAATGCAGTATTTCCTTTTTTCTAAAATGCAAAATTAAGTATTGAGAAAACTAGATTCTGAGGTCTAGGGGACGTCTTGTGGAGAGCAGATGGCAGACATGAAGAACGTCAAGTCCCTGAGCCCCACCAATGCATCTGCCTCCAATGGCCCACATCCCCAGCTCCCTCCTCCTATGTGTGAGCAGGGCGGGGAGTGTCTTGTCTCCTGTCCATGATGGCACTCGTCCCAGTGTTCTGAATTCCAAAGCCTCCAATATCCAAGGTGCTGATCTCTCAAACAACCCGCTTCTCCTCTTCTAACTACTAGTTTACCCTCGCCTCAGAAAACAAACAAAACCTTTTAAAAATCTCCACTCACCTAACAGCAATCTCTCTCTTCCCTTCGCAGACATGTTTCTCAAAAGAACAGGTAGCATTATTTCTCCCCATTCTTCATCGCTCCTCAACCCACCTCCACGTGGCTTCTCATCCACCACTCAACTGATCATCAATGACCACACTCTTCCCAAAGACAATCCAGCCATCTTCTTACCAGACTTCCCCAAACCACGGGGCACTGCCCACTACTAACTCCTTTTGGAAACTTTCTGCAATACCTAGAGAAGCAGCTTAGCACAGCAGTGCAGACTCTGGATCCAGACTTCTGGGTGTGAATTCCGGCTTTGCCACTTGCTGGCTGTGTGACCTACACCATTTCATCACCAATTGCTGCAGCAATTATACTGGTTCCAATCCCACAGGATGGTTCTGAGAACTAAATGACTTAATACAGGTTACAATTTACAACAGTGCTTAGAACACAATAAATGCTATTACTGGGATTATAAAAGAATCATAACAATCCTGGGGCGCCCGGGTGGCTCAGTCAGTCAAGCGTCTGCCTTGGGCTCAGAGCACGATTCCAGAATCCTGGGATTGAGCCCCACGTTGAGCCCTCTGCTCAGTGGGGAGTCTGCTTCTCCCTCTCTCTCTGCCCCTCCCCCATGCTCATGCTCTCACTCTCTCTAATAAATAAAATCTTAAAAAAAAAAATCCTAATAATCCTATTTTTATTCTCACTGCCCCTGCCTCTGTAACAGCACTCTCCACTTTCTGTTCTCTCCAGTCTGGCCACATTTTCATGGTTGTCTCCATGGACTTCCCTTCTGCCACCTCTCAGCCACTCAGGCCCCCAGGGTCCACAGGTCACCTCTCACTGCTAATTCTTTGCGTAATCTCACCCCCTCTGGAGGTTTGGGTGAACCTAGCAGCCCTGAGTGACTCAAATCCATACATCTGGCTGGCTGTCTCCTCAACTTCAGAATGAGACATGTAACAACCTCTTAACATATCCATTTAGTGATGATAAGGGATAAAATAATCCAACACAGTCCAAACACAAACTTACCTAGACTCTCCCAAACTGACTTCTTGGCCTCGTCTCTCTCTCTCTCTCTTCCCACCCCCTCCCCCACCTCACCACTCCCACAATTCTTCCCTCTACTGTGGCTGAAACAATCTAACTAAACCACACAACCATGTCATTTCCCTGCCTAAAACCCTGCAATGGCTTCCCAATCATAAGACACACAGGGAATCTTCTATGCCCTGACCCTTCAACAGGCTTTATGCTTTACGTTCCATAAATACCAGCCGGCACACACAATGACTAATAGACCTTCTGGCCCTTTTCACATGCTGTTCCCTCAACCAACCGTTTTTAGCACCTTTTACTTAAAAAAAAAAAAAAAAAAAAAACCTCCTATTATAATAAGCGCTAGTCAGGGCCACTTCCTTCAGAAAGCCTCTCTGAATTCTAGGTTGAACTGAAGTTCCACTGCTCAACCCCCTTAGTCCCCTGTACATCTTCCATCAGCCTTTGCCAACGGTATATGGACACTGTCCATTTACAAGCCTGTCTTCCCCACAAGACAGTAAACGCCACCAGAGTGGAGAATATGTCTTTATGGCCAGCCCTGCCCTGAAGCCCTGTGGTAAAGAGAAGGACACAGTAAGAGCCCAAGAAATATGACCTGAACGCTAGCCTGGGAGCTCCTCGAGGACAGGGCTGGATCTCATTCCTGACAGTATCAGCCCAGTGGCCTACATGCTACTGGACATTCAAGGACCGCACAAGCAGTGATGCTTGGCAGAGGAACAGAGCCTGATAAGCTACCTGGATTTTAAAGAAACAGAGAGGGATGGCAACCAACTTAAGATGAGGGCTGTGGAAGCCACGGAACAGTGCATGGAGGAACGGTCTTTCTAGAAGAGGAGCCAGACAGCGGACTTATCCTCTGGGTTCCCGGAGGGTTTTATCACTGAACTGCTGCATGGCGTACTAAAGGACGACTACGGTAACTTTCTTCTACACAGAAGCAACAGGTCTTCCACAGAGAAATAAAGACACGAGATTTCACTCTGTCAGCTACTTGGGTGAGGAAGAAACCGGAGCGTGACGTGGAAGTTGAAGGTGCAGTTCTCAACTCCGTTGTTTCCTACACTGAATGGTAACAGAAAATAGCACGGACCTGGGACTTACCTGCAGCATACAACTAAGTCCATACACCAGGGGGCCATGCTGTGCACAGGACAGGAAGTCTGAGAAGGCCAGCTGCACGGGGCTCATGACGGGGCCAGGGCCTCCAGGGCTGGGGGCCCCGACGCTTGAGCTGTTTGGTCCTATCATCATGTGGGGCGAGTGCACAGCAAGGAGGCTGGGACTATCGCTCAGCAGCAAGGCAAGACGCCGGGCACAAAAGTAGGCAAGACGACGAGACAGGTAAGCCGACCGAACAAACTCGTCCGAATACTGAGAAGCACAAGGACACCGGGCTTCAGTCACGTCTGATGCTAGTCAGTGAAACAACTATTTTAACACAGGCTTTTTTCATTAAGGAAAAAAAAAAAAAAAAAAAAACCCTTCAAAAGTACTGTAGAGACCAGTGCCGTCCACAGAAACAACGCAAGCCACATACTTGAAGTTTTCTAATAGCCATTAAAAAAAAATAATAGGCAAGATTAAAAAGAGTAGTGTATTTTCCCTAGCCCATTATATCCAAAATGCTATCATTTCAACAGGTAATCAACACAAAAAGATTTAATGAGATATTATACACTCTTTTCTGGACTAAAGCTGAAATCTGGTGTGCATTTTACACTAAGAGCATGTCTCATATTGCACTTGTCACACTCCAAGGGCTCCAAAGCCACATCTGGCCAGTGGCTACTCCAGCGGACAGCATGGGCACAGACTGTCACAGGGAGGGCACACAGACACTAGCACGGCACAGTCCCCGGGGGGCACCGGGGAGAGGGAAAGAACCACTTTTCACTACATACTCTTGCAGAGCGCTTCAATTATCAAGTTCACGTACTAGTGTTTCAAGAAAACTCCCTTTTTCTAAATAAATTTTCTCCAAATGACCTAAATTTTAACAGATCTTAGAGCAATCATTAAAATAGGAAGTTCCCGGCCCCAGGGACTCAAAGAACATCAAAAAATACAGAAGACCCTCTAATCCTTAAAAAAAGAGATGATTTGTTTTCACAGAAATCTGTGTGAATCAGGAAACAGTCTTTAAAAAGCTATCTGCTTAGCTCAGTGATGGGAGAAATCGGCGGGGGGGAGGCGAGAATACTTTAGAAAGACAGGTGGTTAAAAACTACGAACATGGACAACATAAATAATTGGCTTTTGATCACTTCATGCGTTGTAGCATCAAAACATCTTTCCCTTCCATTCCAAAAAGAATTTTTTTCCTCTTCCCCATCCACATACTTAGTCATCCTTATCAGACTCACTTCTTGCCCGTAAAAATCAGTGGGCTCAGGGTCATACATACTATACCTGCAGCATTAGTGGTAATAAGAGTTTAAGAAGATCATCATCCATTGGTCTGATCTTTTCTAAAACATCCAAGATCCATGTCAAATATTCATGTTTCTCTAGCATTCCTTCCTTCAATGAACAAAGAAAAGTTACACTGATAACGTTAAAGCAAAACCAATTAACATTCAAAAAAGAGCACTATTACTCTTACTCTTATGCTTAAGTATAATTTTACTATTATTATTTTTGTTGTTGTAGTAAAAATACAGTCTCCTGGATCACAGTCCAAATTCTGAACAAAACAAAGACCCAGTGTGATTCTGTCTGGTTGGTTTAGGGTGGGTATTTTTGCTGTTTTTGCTTTTTTTGGTAATCTGCTTCATTCTAAACTGAAAAAAATTAATTCCTACGAGAAAGGAAATTCAGAAGCTTTCAGACTCCCAGGGCATGTCAAGCGCTTGGCTAGATTTCAGGGGTGTATGAACTTATACTCACAGGAGAAAACTTGTCCAATGGTGCTAATTATGAAGAACAAAAGCCCCCATCATACCAGCGTCTCAGCAAGCAGCTGAAAATCCCATCAGATCTAATGCTCTCCTAATAACCCCTGGTCTCTATCCTAAAATGAATTTCAGATACTATAACCTACGTATAAAATATAACCTTAAAAGTCAATATAGTGTCCTAACCGTTAACATAAAGAAATGAAAAAAATTATTAGAAAATAATGTATACATATTCCAACATAACTATACTAAAAGCAGCAACACACCTCAAATTTCCAAAATGCCCCACAGGGGTGGTATAGCCCCTCTTGACATAAGAGCCATTAACATTTTCATCTATTATCTTCATATAAACACACATGCATTCATATAAATACACAATTCTTCTATGACAGTCTATGCATGTATGTATTTAATGTCATGTTCTAGTTTTGTATTATGATTCACATCCTGAAAGAATCTTAAAAACAGAAACAAAAAGATATGTTTTCTGGGAAAGACACATATTTTTATGATCACTGTGGCAACAGGCTTAGTAGTTAATATGAAATCCTACTTTATTCCTAGCAATATTTTCATATCTATTTATCACCAGTGCTCCAACATCAGGATTATCAACAATTTGTGTGAAAATATACTGATAAATTATAGCTTCAGTATTTAAAAGATTACAGTGTCACCACACTGACATGATATCAAGGCATCTACTTGTTGCTCATTTCTAATTTTTAAAAAGCTTAAAATCAAAGAGTTAAAAGGTTAGTCACAGAAAAAGTTCAATTTAAAATTTTAAGACCTGTGATGTGAACTTTAATAAAGAAATGAAAAAAATAGAATTTTGTATTTAAGGCAGAAGAGATGGCAAATGCAAGGTTAAAAAAAAATAAATCTTTCTAAACATGACTTTCAATGGCTACATGATACCCATCCTCAGGATGTCTTTGTGTATTTACCCATACCCTTATTTCTGCACAATTTCTTCACGTTTCAGAATATGTCCAATTAAAAAATAAACTTTTAAATTTAAACATTAATGTCCCAATTAAATTCATCTGTTTAGGACCCAACTGCCTCCTATAAAGGAGATACGGATTTCAGTGTTCCCAATACATAAAGTAATCCTTCCAAAAATATTAAGCACACTGAGAGACACTTTTTTCAAAGATGCAGACTAAATCCGCAGCTCAATAAAAGTCATAAAGGCTCAGAGAAGGTACCAAGGTAGTCCTCTGCTAAATGGAACTAGGATTTATAAGATGGTTTTTAACTGACTTAAAACTAACAATGCTACTTCCCAAAGAACCGGGCTTTTTCCTACTTTGAACTCTTAGAAAAAGTCACTTACAACCTGGAAATTATAAAGTTCTAAGGGGACAATTTTGAAACCACACATCCTTTTTACCCCCTTCCTCTCTGAACAAGATAGCAGGTAGTGAGTGAAAGTCTCTGCTAGTCATACAACTTCAGCCGAACACACTTCTCCCTCCTTGCTAGGAAGAGGCAAATAATAGCACAAGCGCCCTCTTCTGGTCAATATGATTTACATCAGCTTGTCCGAAGAGCATTCAGTCCTTGCTCCGTGCCCTTACTCATCCTCCCAACTGTATTTTAAACCGTCCCTGAGCCAAATTAAGACGACCCTTCTATGGAGAAACTAAGCCCTAATGGAGATTGAGGAGATAGGAAGCACCAACACAAATATTTTTTTGAATAATCGTATCCAAATTTTTCAAAATAAGAGGTTTGGAAGGGATATTTAATAGAGAAATTACCAAAAAATTAACAGCATTAAAAGAGCTAAGATCTGGGGCACCTGGGTGGCTTGGCCGTTGGGCGTCTGCCTTCGGCTCGGGTCATGATCCCAGGGTCCTGGGATCGAGCCCCGCATCGGGCTCCCTGCTCAGCAGGAAGCCTGCTTCTCCCTCTCCCACTCCCCCTGATTGTGTTCCCGCTCTCGCTAACTCTCTGTCAAATAAATAAAATTAAAAAAAAAAAAAAAGAGCTAAGATCACTGAAAGCTGGAGATCAATATATAGAAGCAGGGGCTGTCATCTCGGGGGAAAGGTGGTTACCATGAATACAACTCAAGGTGAGAAATGTCAGACTTTCTCTGAATGTATTTGGTTCATATAAAGATAGCACTTAAACTGTAAGGACTTCTCTCTCTTCTTAAAAGCATGCTGTAGGGCCTTGAGGCTCTTGAGAAGGTTACCTGGAACATGTGAAAGGCCAGCTTCTCGTTGTACTCCCACTGTTTCATGGCCTGTTCCACATCCGGTGGCACCGGGACAGGAGCATCCCCCGCGCTGGAAGCCACGTGGTAGAAGTCGGAAATCTTGGCCAGCTGCTCTCGAAGGTATCTGGTAGATATCTGTGTCCACTCTGCATTAAAAACAAACAAACAAATCTAAATTTCCAGACATGATGAATATAAGAATTAACGTTTTCTCCCCGCTTTCTGATTAGCTTAAGGATGTACATATAAAACAAACATCTATTACAGAAAAGTGGTTTTGGCATGTGCAAGCATTGTACAAAAAAGCACACCCACCCCAGTAAGGCAACGTGGACGGCCCTCCACAGCCCACAGGAAGGTTGGCCAGCTCTTGGGTGGAAAAGGCAGCTGTCCCCGTGTGTCTCTGTGACTCTTAACGGAGGAGGAGAAGATGCCTGCACTTGAGTTATGTGCATTTCGTGATGTTCCACATTATGCTAACAACAGCATAAAAAAATTTCAAAGCCACAAGCAGGAAACAGAGGAGGTGAGCACCTCAAAAAATTTCAGTTCTACTCCAAAGCAATTCAAAATCCTCCAAATGCAGCTCTCCAAGTTGGATTTCAAACATGCCTCATTAAGATTTGTTCCATTTTTGCCCGTCTGTAAGAGGAGTGGCATTCACCACGGGCTGGCCCATGACAGCATTCTGACCTGCACTCCCCTTCCTCACACCTGCTAAAAACACCAGCACGGCTGCCTCTTGGACAACCATCTGGACCTTCAATTATTTTACTCTCCTCAACCAACACATGATACCTCAGAACCCAAATCAGAAAGAGTAGTGAGCAACAAAAGGTAGGAGACTGGAAAGGAAATAGAAAAGTACCATTACAAAAAAAAAAAAAAAAAAAATCACTAAAAATATTCAAAAATGTCTGCCAGAGGGGCACAAATTAAATCAGTGTGTTGCCTCTGGCAACCATGAGGTATGTGATGCCAACTTTAGCCCATTCTGTGGATAAAAATGTAATAATTGCATGTTCACAGCCAAATTTCCCCAAGGATTAGCGAAACAGCATTTCAGAAGAAACCACCCTACTGAAACATTACCACACAATGCTATTTTCCCCATTATCCTGGCAACTGGCTCTCCCACCTTATTTTTAAAGGAACCTACTTTGACAAAAGTAAGAGCAGAAACCTAACATCTGTTGGGGATTCAGGGTTTTGTTCTTATTCTTTAAGTACTCTTAAAAGTACTTGACAACAGTACCCAGAGAGAACTACTGTTAAGTCTTGGTCTAAACCACTTATTCTCACTGTGTCTTTTTTAAAATCAAAATTCAAACGCACATGTTAAACTCTAGTAATAAGCAAGTGCAAAAAGATGAACAGATACTAGGTCAACATTCTGTTCCTAATATTGTTCTTCAGAAAGCACCACCAATAACAGATATTATCATTAAAATTAATCTATCGCCATTAAAAACAACAGTAAATTATCAGTGTCATCATCTTCTGGTGCCCCCGGTTATGGACTAATAGTCTCATGACACTTGTTTAACAAAACAAAATGCCAACCATCAGATGGGACAAGTTTAGCTTAGCTATAATAAGCAAAAACAAAAATAACAAGGATCCAAATCCTAGCTTTTGTGTGCCAAGCCTTGCTATCAACTCACTCTCAGTATGGTACCATCCTCAATACCCCCACAGAATATTTTAGCCTCAAGAGCTAAAAATAACACACACATTCACACACCCCTACTTTGTCCAGGGTATATTTTCTTTTTAAGATTGTTTCTTAAAATATGGAAGAAATATATGTTCACTACAGAAAATGTACAACGCAAATATAAAAAGAAAAACATCTGTAATATCCTCACTCATAATTAAATATTTTAATATTTGTCTTTTCAGGTTTTTTTTTCCTTTATATGTGCTGGAATGTTTATATAAACATATGCATTTCTTTAAAAAAATATGCTGAATAGGACATTCCACAATCCAAATGCCTTTGGGGATTCAAATGGAATGCAAATGTAGCCCTCTTAAGTAGTGTGTTTTAACTCTATTTAACTGGCATTAAATTATATCAATCAGGGAGATTCAGAGGTCTGGGACATAAGACAATCTAGAGAGGATTCGTTTAAAAAATTAGGATGCACACAAAATTTTCATTAAAAATTAAAAAGAGAGGGGCGCCTGGGTGGCTCAGTCATTAAGCGTCTGCCTTTGGCTCAGGTCATGATCCCAGGGTCCTGGGATAGAGCCCCACATCGGGCTCCCTGCTCTGCAGGAAGCCTGCTTCTCCCTCTCCCACTCCCTCTGCTTGTGTTCCCTCTCTCGCTAGGTCTCTGTCAAATAAATAAATAAATAAATTCTTTAAAAAAAAAAATTAACAGAAAATTGCAAATGGCCACCAGTACACTACCCCTTAAAATTATTTGGATTCACTGGCCCACCCCCTCCTGCTTAGTTATGGCTGAGAATGAAGCTGAGCCCTGGAGGCAGCAGTGGCAGGACCCAGGGGAGTTTCTACCAAATGCCAGTCACTTCAGTCCCTCCCTCCAGATCCTGATTTAACTGGTCTGGAGTAAGGGGCCCAGTTTCCGGTGATGAAAAGAAAATAGGAATCAGAGGGAAGATGGTGGGGATGAAGGGAATATTCAAAGGTGGAAAAGATGCAAACCGTGATCAAGGAGGCCACTGGGCAGGGGGCGCAGCTCTCCATTCAAGCAGCTCTGAGGATACAGCCACATCATTTGTAGTTCACTGATACCGAGAACTTCAGGGCCATTGAAGGCAGATGATCAGATAGTTTATGCACATAAACATCACTGAGAGTGGTGTCAGGGGCCAGGACTGAAAAGAATGACTGGTCCCTTTGACAAAATTCCCCCTAGCTCCCTGAATCCTCTGGCCACTGTTGCCTAACCCCCCAAGACAGAAGGGGTTTCAGACGTCATGCAGCTCAATCTAGCATTTTCTAGATCCAGGCACAGCAGGCTTATGCAAGGCCCCACAGCTAGACCTGAAGTACACCATCCGGTGTGAGATGCCCCACTCTAGTACACGAAAACACATAAATCGATAAACACATAAAGGTGAGAACAGAGATGTGCCAAGTTACATTAAAGATGATCCTCCTGGGCCTAGAATACCTGCAGTATTAAAAAGAAAACTGGGAGGAGCCCAGCAGAGGAGTAACATCCACCCTGGGGGCAAACACAGAACATGCCAAGTGCAGCGGGGCTCACGGAGAAGACATCCTGGCTGGGGCACATGAGTAAAGAACACCACAGGGCTGCATTTAGTGATTTTGGTAGAATGAACTTCAGAATAGGATGGCCCTGGTGCAAATTCTCATTCTGCTACTCAGCTGTGTGATATGAAAAATGGTGTCTAACTTCTGCTAAGTCTCAATTTCCTCCTCTGCAATAGGAATCACTCTCTCTCTCTCTCTCTCTCTCACACACACATGAGTTACTGTAAGGATGAGTTACTTAGCATGATGCATGCAATGCAGAAATTGATCAACATGTGGTAGCTATCATCACCACATGATCGGGATGAAGAGTTTTTTGAAAGGAAGCTAAAGGTTCGGTCTTGACTGTCAGAGGACAGCACCTGTTGTCACTGATGTTAGACCCTGCCTCTGCTGCAGCAAGCTGCCAATGCCTAACATAATGCTCTGGATAAGTATTTATGAAATCAATCCATGTCAGTTTCACGATTCCAAAACCTTCAATGGATATGCAATCCTTCATGAATTAAGACCAAACTCCTTACTTAGGACCTAAAATCATTTCAAATACTACCTACCATTAAGTAACTTCAGTTGCTTTCTCTCTGACTCTCAGACCTATAATGCTCTTTATCTACCGTACCTTCTCTACTCACCTGTGTTCACTTGTGAGAATTTTTCTGGACCCAATTCAAATGTCAAATCGAATATGTAGCCTTCTTTGGTTTCTGGACACCAACCCACCACCTAAAGGGGCTCTCCCTCTGTTCTCGGATATATCACAATTTCCTCTTTCATCTCCATAAAACTAAGCCTTACATAGTCAACATCTAAGTACTGACTTGAATCAATACACTATAAGATGCTCCCAAAATAACCACTAAATCAAGTCACTCCCCAATTATTCTGCCTCTCAAATCTTCCTACAAACATCTTTGCTTTCTAGTTTAAACTCATCACTGCATACCTAGCTTTCAAACACCATCTAGGAAATGCCAAATCCCCTCTCTAGCATGCTCTGTCTTTATTACAGACAATGCAACTAGAAGCACCTGCTAGTCAATGCACTACAAAGGCCCCGTGCAAACCGTGAACTTTCAACTCTCTTTAATAAACTTTCAATAAATACATATGTGTGTCCTTTAATTTTGTGAGGCTCATTTTCCCAGCCAAAGTCTTTCCTCTGATATCAAATCAAGCGGGAACTCACTCTGTAAAATAAATCCAATAGAGATTGTTTAAAAACTTCCACCAGTCCCAGAGAGTTAGGTGCACATTTTTAAGGTGATCCACTTGATAAAGAACTTTAGTCAAAGAGGACAGTCTCCTTGAAGGAGAAACCTATATCCTAGAAAATTCTTCCTGGCTACACCACTATAATAAAAATTCTTGCCTCTGCACAGGGAGAGCAACCTGCTTCTCGGAACTATAAGACGTAGAGGATTTCATCAGCCTGACTTTGGTGCAGACTGAAAGGTGGGGGAGAAAACACTTCAGTGCATGCAAGACACAAGCACATTCCACCTCTAAATATGCAGTAAGAATGATTGGAAGATTTTCCACCATTTTTCTCACTTTTTTGTTGTTGTTAAAATGCTTTCTTGATCAAAGGATGCCATCAATAAAGTGAAAAGACAACCTACAAATTGGGAGAAAGTATTTGCAAATCATGTATCTGATAAGAGACTTGGATCTAGACTATATAAGGAACTATTACAACTTGATAATAAAAAATGGGCAAATGATCTGAACAGACATTTCTCCAAGAAGATAAACAAATGGCCAATAAGCAGATGAAAAGATGCTCAACATCATTAGCTACCAGGAAAATAGATACCACCAGGGCAGTTATAAACAAAAAGACAAATAGTAACTAGTAGCGTTGAGGATGTGTATGAACTAGAATCTTCATGTATT